GATTCCACATCCTAAATTTACATTACTTCTCAATGATGCCATCAAATGATTATCTTATCACTTAATCTGCTAGTCCACTAAAGAAGTTAGAGCCTCATGATTGCATCGTTTTGCCTAAGTCCTACATCTGAACCCACGAGACTTGGAGGAAGTGAATTTTAGATCATATCGTATATCAAATTGTAATTTCATCAAAATGTATCTTAATGATTGTGTTGAAACAATCCTTACAGTTTTACAAATGGAAAAATATGCATTTTATTTTGTTACTCTAAATTAGAGAATAACGATAAACTTTTGAGTTTTAGAATACTAATTTTGAACTCAAAATTTAGAATTCATGTGAAATTGAAGGCAATGTTTGCCAGTTTCAAAGGCTGTGATAGTCACTTCCTTATTGTTGTGACAGAATATCTGACACACACAACTTAAAGGTGTAGCAGTAGTTTATTTTGGCTCAGGTTGTCAGTCTTTAGTCTGCTGATTCCAAGGTAGGACAGCATGGCAGAGGGGAATAACAGGAAAAGTTGCTAAAGGTATGGGGTCCAGGAAGTAGAAAGAAAAGGGTGGGGCCAGGGAAGGCGGTACACCCTTCCAGGTCAAAGTCCCAGTGATCCCCTCCTGCAACCTGACCTACCTCCTAACAGCAAATTAGCTGTTTCTTCTCTACCGTCCAAAGAAGCTATTTTTACATGAGTGTCTTGGGGAACATCTATATATAAGGAATGGTCATAACAAAGGGATCTAATATTTACTAATGATTGTTGTACAAAAAGAACTTTCAAAAATAACCTTTAAGTGAGCTGTTCCTATCAGATAGTTTTAAAAACATGTTTTAAAACTAATTGTTGTTCATTTTAGCTAACATGTAGAATCACTACAGAACTCACAGAGAAATAAAATATTACAAATAATATACAAAACACTAACACAATAATGTTTTTTATGACTTGAATCCATCAACAAATATTTAGAAATATCATTCACATCATGTATCCAAAGAAACAGAGTGGTAGAGAATTCCAAAGATCTAAAGTAACTCCAAACTAAATGAAAGGTTTTTGGCGCAGACAGGACACTCAGCATCGGCCAGATTGATTTCAGGTGAGCACTCCCCGGGGAACTCTTGGCACTGGGCAGCCCCAGTCAACTGTTCTCCCTGTTCACGTGGATCTGTGCATTTTCATGTCCTTAGGACAGCCCAGGGCAGGGTTCTTTCTGGGCTAACCTGTGTCCACACTCTAAAATTTCTCACCCTCTTTGGGTTCAGATAGCCCAAAGCAGAGATTTTTGGACTGCCCACACTGAAAGGCCCTCATTTCCCTTAAAGCCTCGCGCTTTCACGGGCAAAACTGTTACTGACCCCACGTGGGCTCCACTCGTATATCTCTCAGTGACAACTAGAATATATGAGTTTTTGGAACCTTAGCCGCCGTGTGGTGCCACAAACAAGTGACGGCTTGTTCTGGACCATGGCTTATTTCTTGCCTGAATCAGTCATGGGAAATGTATTTTCTAACTCCCAAAAGATGCCTTTACCATGCCTAATTTCCAATTTACATACTCTAAAAATTAAAAGTACCGTAAAAACTAAACAATTAACTTTTTACTGCCAGGAGGTCTGGCCAACCTACCTGCTTATTGGCAATCGTTGGCCCAAGGAAGGAACATTTGACCCCTGCATTCTCAGGAATTTGTATGATTTGTGTCAGGCCAGCACAAGTTATTAGAACTCCCTTATATTCAGGCCTTTCTTATCCTGAAAACACACCCATCTCTCATTAAATCTTGTGCTCCCGCTCAGATACTTTTAACTAACTCTACTGCACCACAAACTTTTCTGTCCTGCCCTCTGATGTTTTTCCCGGCCACCGCCTCCCTACCCCCAAAATTGTTCCTCACCGTTATCTCCGGCTGTGCAATCATCTTCCTCTCCCTCTCCCAGGACCCCTAATTCTCCCAGCAGCTCTAATCTCTCTGTTAGTGCTTCCTCACAGTCTCTGACTCCTTATTCTCTTGAGAATTCTCTATCCCCTACAGCATTCTCACTGCCCGCCCACCATACTAGGTCTCGGTCACTATGTCCTTCCAGCAGGCCACGTGATTGTTCCAGCATGCACCAGGAACAGTCACCATGTTGCAACCCTCTGCCATGTGGCATGGCACCACCATGTTCAGGAGGGTCACATGGCAACAGGGCGCCACCATGTTTGGGGCCACGTGACAGGGCGCCGCCATGTTTGGGCCCACGTGACAGGGCGCCGCCATGTTCCCAGGACCCTCACTGTCAACGGGCACCCTCTTGTGGCTCCTCTTGTGAAATGCAACAGCTGCCCTGTTGCAGTGCACATGACACTTCATTGTGCTGCCAACAGCAATCCTCTTGCTGCAAGGCACACAGTGAGATGCCATCTGCCTGTGTTTCCCAGGGTGACCGGCAGCCACTCTGTAGCCGCTCTTCAGATAATTCCTCACACGCATCTACCAGACGGATGGCTGCCCAATGGCCCTCTGCTCTGGAATCTTCTCCTCAGGCTCTGCTACCATTTTGGGAGCAAGCCTGCCCCGAGGGACTTGTTAATATACATGTACCTTTTTCCTTTTCTAATCTATCCCAGATTGCCCATAAATTAGGTAGCTTCTCTGTTGACCCACAGAATTATATCAGCCAATTTGACTTTATTACTAATTGTTATGATCTGCATTTTAAGGATGTTTATGTGATTTTAAATACCACCCTTAGTTCACAAGAGCAAAATCAGCTGTGGCAAGCAGCTCGAGAAGAAGCTGATCACAGACATATGGTAAACACCGCTGATAATGACCCTGGGCCTATAGCTGTGCCAGAGCAGGGCAAACATACTAACTATAACAAACTTTTAAAACAGGTCCAGGAGGCTAATAAAAACCCAGCTGTGTTCCTAAATTGGCTTTCTAGTCCTCGAGCCTCAGGAGCAGGTCCAGCTTTGCGTGCTGCGTCATGCCGCCTCCCAGCCCCTCCCCCATGCGCCCTCCCAGCCCCTCCCTCCCCCGTGCGCCATAGTCACCGCCGCCTTACACATTTCTGGGGGCAGTCCCAGCCCACCCCTGCATACTACATCCCGACGCTCACCCCACCCCCACTCTCAGTGGCTCAGCAGCACCTCACCGGCTCAGCAGCTCAGCAGCTCAGCAGCTCTGCTCAGGCATGCTTTTTTTACAATTCAGCTCCACTCAAAAGATGCTAATTTTTTATTACAATTCTCAAACCATTTAATCAAGGTTACTGGCCACCTGATAATTTTACCAGCCTTGTTTATCAATCAAAGCCCTGACTAATCTCCTGTTTTAATGACTAAAATTAAGAGATATTTATCAATTCTTTTTGCTGTGGACCACCAGTAATGTTATATGTTAAACTTATTGCCTGTATTATGCTGTGTTGTCACCGATCTCCTGTTTAACAACTAAGGTTATAAATTCCTTTTTGCTGGAAACCAGTAGCTCTGTTCCAAGCCAAGAGTTTTGTTAAAATTTTATTTGTCTTGGTTCATACTACTGCAAATAACAGGTTTAAAAAAGTAAATGTGTTCAAAATTTGACAATATTAGATCAGTTTTGGTAAAAGTATTCATAAGATTGGTAAACCTTTACTGCAAAATGTTTCCATTAAGATTTTACTCCAAAAGGGGGAGGGCAAACTAAAGCCTTTTTTATTCATTCTATGCAACAAGCCTTTTTAATAATTCTATGGCCCATCCTGGCGTTCTTTGAGACCTTACTCCAGGGCTGCTGGACTGTCCTAGCCACCAGAGTGTGGGTAAGCCATCCTAACTTCTAGCCTTCACTAAATTCATCGAAACATCATGAGGTTAACACAAAATATTTTGGGCATCTACAATTACAAAGATGCTCAAAATGGGGACCATTAGCTTCCAAACATTAGGACAGCAAACTGCTGAAGTGTGTATACATTTTGGGGGGCAGACTCCTCTCCTCTCTCTCTCTCTGGAAAATATGTCTGTATATATCTATCTCTATATATCTTTATATATATATATATATATATATATATATATATATATCTGTGTATATACTTCTGTATATAATATATATGTCTCTATATAATAACTGTATATATCTGTATATTATATATGTATACAATATATATATATATATATATATATATATATATATATATCTGTATAAAATGTATGTGTATATATATATATGGGTTTGGGGACAGAAAAACAAGGGCAAGTATAAAGACTGAAAAACATCATAAGTTCACAATCCCCAATCATGAAGTATTACGTTCTTCCATGTCACTGTATATATACTTTCAATGGTCCATCTTTTGGAAATCCCTTGTCTCGTAGCACACAAAATCTTTATGGTAATTCACATATCTATTTCAGGAAACTTGACACTCCCAACTTTTTCTGAATGTCAGTACATGCTAAAGTTATCATAGCATTAAAGCACATTATGTTGTAATTTTCCACATTTCATTTGTCTCCTTCATAAAAATTCACTGATGGCAAGAGGCACACCACTTCACTTGAATCTGTGACTCTGAGTACCAAGCCAGGTAGAAAATGAGCTCTCAACACTCTACATCAGTGGTGGCGAACCTATGGCACACATGCCACCGTGGGCAGGTAGAGCCCTCCATCAGTGCATAAGCCAAGTCTCCCCAGGATGTGAATGGCCATGTGAATGGATTCTTAGATAAATAAAGCATTTTAGGTGCATGAGATTAAACTCAACAATCAAGAGTGAAAGAAAATTAGAGTACTTTGTAACAGGAATTTTAAAAATACATTAAATCAGGTACAAAAATAGGAATAATTATTTGTTGTTTCCTTTTACATAAAACATGTTTTCAAGATGAAATAGCCAAAACTTCTAGTTTTGTGACCCAGACTAATATAATTGAGACATTGTGTTTTAAAAGACAGAATTTTTCCCTGAACATTTTAACTTTTAAATACATTACAAACTATTAATAAAGACATTCATTTTCAGTAATTTTGTTTTATTCAAATCTTCACTCTTCTCAAAAGAAAGCTGTATCTTCCAAGTACCACAGGCTTTACAGTGTCTTTGATAGAATAGTATGTATTTTGCTTTAAAAATTCAAAGGATTTTGATTATAGAATTTTTATGATATTGAATTTGGTACTTTTCAGTTGCCATGAGCCTATAGTAAATATTTCCAGTGCTGTGAAAAGATAGAGAGAAGGAAGAGGCACCAACTGAGATCCTTTGGAAGAATATGTGAAGACGGTGGAGCAGATGATGTGATGTCGGAGATGCTGTCTTGATTTTGAGACGTGTCGTCTGTGATGGGAGGCTCATCATCATCATCCAGGGATGGAAAATTTAAAACAGCATCTATACAAATATTATTGGCAGTACACACATTAACAGAACGGACATTATGTACATCAAGTCTGTCCTTACAAGCCACATTGGTATAACAGGAGCAATGAAAATTTTTGGAAAATTCCTGCAGGTCTTCAAGTGATGGTTTTCCATGTACTACAAACTTCCCATTTTGCTGAAGTTCAATGTCAAAATTTGTTGCGTTTAGGTGAAGATAGGTGTTTGTGTTCCAGTCTTTCCTTGTGCAAATTCCTTGATTCTTACAAAGCACTTGGCCACACATTTTGGCTGCTAGGGTGACATTGATTAAGTAAGGCAGGAGTGTACCCTTCATGTAATTTTCTAGTCCTATACAAGAAACCTGTAAAATCATAAAATGTTCAAAATATGAATGCATAAATGTTAAATAACATTGAAATAAGCAATTTTTATGGAAGAACAAAACAAGAGACACACCAAGAGATAGGAAATATGTAATCTTTTTTACCTTAAGCAAAATTATTCTGGTTTTTCTGACACTGTTTCACATCTCATTTCATGCCACTGAATAATATATCAGTTGAGGCTCACCAAATCCTACCCTGATCTTCCTCTGTTACTTGTATATCAATCAAGGGAATAGAATGGTTCAGCTATTCGAATATGGACTTTACGGTTTATTTGCCCAGATTAGTTTCCTAGTTTCATTGATGATGAGCTACGTGAACTTGGGAAACACTCAAATCTTCTCAATCTTAGTTTTCTGAGTCACCTTAGCAAATCAGTTAAGTTGGTTATGCTTCAGTTTCATCACTTGTACAATAAGGATAATTTTAGAGCCTACCTCATAGGTAGAAAAGAATGAAAGGATACAATATTTTCATTGTATACAAAAATTTTTTAATACACAGCCTAGCACTCCCATCATTGTTAATTTTGAAGACAGGACCAGGAGCTAAAGAATGTGGGGGCCTCCTGAAGATAAAAATGAACTTTAACCAACAACCAGTGAGATAATTGAGAGCTTATTATTGCAAATGTAAGAAACTGAAGCTGCCAACAAACCAAATGAGCAAGTGAAGACCTTCTCTTAGGAAGGAATGCAGCCTTCTGACAACCTTAAATTTAGCCCATTGAGACCTATGTTGGACTTTTTATATACAGAATTATACATATATACACACACACACAGTCACTAAGTTTATTTTTGCTTTTATGGAAGCAATAGAAAACTAAAACACAATCTTCCTTTTAACTTTCAATGACTTTACATTGAACATGATAAAATTCAACTTCTCTTGACTTGCATATACCAGTCTGACACTGCATAATGTCTTGGACAATCCACTCATATTCACTCTCCTTAGACATAGTTATTTCACTGGCAAACCTGGTTCATTTTAACCCACACTGCTCTATCATCTGCTGGGAATGCTCTTTCCTCCAATTTTTAACACGGTAAACTATCTTGTCATTCAGATGGTGCTTTAACTAGACAGTGCCCTCTCAGATATAGTATTTTTCTTATAAATGCACATCTCTATATTAATTCCCTGTATAGTAAATATCACATCAAATATTTCCCTTATTTATGTATTTTTCTGAGCACTCATAAGTTCTGAAAATGCACTGACTTGGTCTGTACTCTTCAATGCTATATTCCTAACTAAGATGAAAATATATGCCAAGTTCATATGGCATTATACTTGCTTCCTCAAATCGACAGTTGTAACAGTTTTGTTTGGCATTAGGCAAAACAAAAACAAGGTAAAAAGATGAGAATGATTTAAGAATCATTAACCTACATAACATATAGTCTATAGAGAGATCTAAAAATTTCTATCTGGTTGATAAGGCCTGGTCTATACCATTATATATCATGATTTAACTACCTTTGCCATGGCCAATTTGATACTATCATTATGACACCATTGAATGAAAAATCCAGAACTGAGTACATCAACAATATACAGTATGGCAGTTTGGTGCTGGGTTGCAACCACTGCATATTTGTAAATATATAACAAATATAAATAACCTTGAAACATATATAACAAAATGAAATGGTTTTAAACATCATATATATATATATGTATATAAAGAGAGAGATGATTAAATTTTTAATAGCTATGTTTAACAACTGGCTCACAAAATTCTCAAATATTTAACAATCAAGTCTCACACGCTAGGTTCAGTAGAACTGGCTCCACCATATTACTATATCTAATGAAAAAGCATGAAAGGAAATGGCTCACTTAACGCCTGCTCCATTAACTACAGAAAAACTTACAGTTACCAATTTTTCAAGTTCTCAGTGAACCAGGGGAAAATGAAAATGATTCATGGGTCTATTGGTTACACATGACATAAATAAAAAGGGGAAATCTTGAAAGTATTAATATTCAAAACAACCATAATTTTAGAAAAGCAGAAAATACATCACATGGTCTGTAAGTGAAAATATCAACGCACTGACATTAAACAGAGGAAAGGCTATCCCTAAATGATTTGAGAACTGTCATGTCTCCAAAGGTGTAACGTGTTCAGAAGCAAAGCTTTCAGAGAGTGATTAATTCGTGGGCTTGCTCTGCTCTGCAATGTATTAACCCACTGATGAGTTCATGGCTGAATGTGTTGTTAGGTGGTTGTGAGGCCTGGTTGGAAGTGGGGGTTGGTGACTCCCAGTGTCCCTTTGGGGAATTTCTCTCTCTCTCTCTCTCTCTCTCTCTCTCTCTCTCTCTCTCTTTCTCTCTCTGCCTCTCTCTCTCCTGCTGCCTTAAGGTACACATCTTGCCTCTGCCCTTCTATCATAATGTTTCTGTCTTGGTGCCAGCTAACAATGGACTGATACCTCTGAAACTTCGAGTCAAGATGGACCCTTCTTACTTAACAACCAAGAAGAGCTTAATGTAAGAAGCGTAACAAAAATGTAAATCTCAGGTTAAAATGATATTAAAAAACAAGTTGACTCTTAGATGATATGTCACATTAGCCTACTCATTGTAGAAAGCCTGATTCACTCTTTAGCAGAATGAGGTAGAATTTTCAGGCCTTTTTTTAAAGGAAGGAGCATAGAATATTTATGAATGCTCCCATTATAGAATTAATAGAAACCTTGAGAAAGTAGTTTATGTATTTGGGAAACTATTTAATAAAAATTGAGAACATACTTATGAGAATTATAATTTTAAGTTTTCTTACATACAAACAATCTTGCCAAAAGTTATATAATTTTCCCTGAACTTGTATTTCTTTCTTTCTGTTATTTCTTTTTTGTATTGGTATCAAGCCAGAGACAATATGATTATATAAAATTGGCAGAAGGTATGTAATTACATAGAAAGAATTTCACAAGTCTGTTTTAAGCACTTTTAAATTAAGAATCTTGCTATACTTTGTAAAAGGCAAGAGACAGACATGATCCTCTTCAAAAGATCTCTCCCAGTGATAAGGATTAAGGGCTGTTTTTTACAAGCCCTAAGACAGGTGCCCCTAGGCCACGACATTTTCTATAACATACTCGTCACTAATATTTCCACAACCATCAGAGAAAATAAAGTTGAGCTCTGATCTAGCAATGTCTTTACAGAGCTCTCACTCTCTCGTTGATTCAAGAGAACTGAAGATGTGAGGGGAAACACCTCATATGGAAAATTAAATAGTGAAAATAGAGGCATTTATTTTATGACATGAAAAGTCTTTTCAGAAAACCTGATATTTTTTGCTACTTGTATGTTATGTGGCATAGAGAATTTTAATTAATCTCACTGAATTTCTGACTTCTCCCTAAAAATAAGTTCAATATTTTCTGCTTTACATCCCAACCAAACGAATCCAAAGGTATTTTCATTCAGCCAATGTTAATTCAACACCTACTGCTGTGTACCAAGCATAGTACTGATTTTCTTATTTAACACCAAAATAATCCTGGAAAGCATTAAAACATAAATACTTTCATCTATTTTCTACAGTTGAACTTACCAAACTTCGTGTTAAACTAAGACTTCCCCATATTATTATTCCAGAGACACCTAGAGGAACAATTTCGCCAACTGAATGCACAAGATCATCCTGGTAAATGTGATAGAAAGTTAGTACAGAGGAATAAAGTGAAAATTTTATAAAAAGGACAATAACACTTAAGCTAAGCATTTTGATCCAACAATAATGTTTCTCCACTATTTCTATTTCTAAAGCATGTCTTTCCATACTATAAAAATACAGAAACTGTAATTTATTTTATTCTTTTAAAAAGGTCACAAAAGAAAAGAAACAGAGCTAATGCATTACAGATGTTACCTAGATTATCATGGTTGCTAAAAGATCACATGGTTACATTAGAGATTAAAAACATTCTTATTTTGACTTTATATAATGACACAGAACTACTTGTGTGCACTTCCCCAAATGACATTAAAAACTAAATTTTACTCCTTTCAAAATGATATTAAATTCCACAAAACATTATTTCTAGACATTTCACAGCTGTCATACTTTGATTTACTCACCAGTTCAAGGAATGTAGTAGTTTGATCGGTAAAAACGAGGCGGATATACACATAAATCGGAAGTGGGTTTTTGTCATCCATGAGTTTCGAAACCCTAATGGACTCGTGTACACGATTACGAACATAAAGTGCACCATTTTGAGATGATCTTACTCGACTGGTCAAATAAACAGATGGGTAAAGGGCAGTGCTGTCGTTCCACAACCATTGGAGATCGTTATTTCTTTGCAGTTCTATAGGAGGGCAATGCCCATCATAATTGGGTTTAGTGAAATGAGTGTTGTAGCAATCAGGAAAAAGATAATAACCCCATAAGCTACTTGGCCTAAGTGATTTTCCCAGTTTTAAAGTTTCTAGCATGAAAGCCTTCCCTGTCCTTTCAAAGTCTCTTTTGGCTACGGCAACAGCATATGAGTGATTATACTGTGGATGCTGGCTCTTAACCAACTCAATAGATTTATTCCTGTAAATATCCTTAGGTCTCCAGTTTCTTGTCCAGGTGGGCCTCCACTCTTCCCAGTCAATGACAGCCAAGCCCACGCTGTCTGTGGGCATGTAAAATAAAATGTCTTGCCTTGATTTTCTCAAATGCTGTTGTAAATTCATCAACTGGGGGAGTCCTCCATGCACAATCGCACCTGTGTGAGGATCTATGTAAGGATAGTAGCCAAGTCTATCAACATAATATAGTGTAATACTTTGCCCTGTGATATTTTTCCGGGGAGTTCCTACTATAGAGAAAAAGCTCATATCTAGTGGTTGATTGGTTCCTCCTATACAAAATTCAGTTGGGGCATTCCAGACCCAGAGCAAAGGCACATTTGGGATGAGTGGTGGTGCCCTTTTATCAGCCAGGCAACATGGAATTAGAAGGAAAATAAACACTGTCTGCAATACTCCACTGCACTCAACAAAACTCCCAAAAAAGCTGTGTTTAAAAGTGAATGCTCCCATTAGAAAGAGTAACAGCTGTGAAAAATACTTTTTCTTCTTATACACTGTTTTTTCCAATATTTGTTGCACAATATGAGCCCAAAAGAAGCGTAGTACAGTGAGGTCACTTTGGTGGATAAAGAGGTAAACAACTCTGTTACATTAAAATATTCTTCTTGTTTTGTATTTCAGGAATGTTTTGAATGTTGCACCATCTGTAACTGGAAAGAAAAAAATAAGACTCTTACAATGCATTACTGTACCCAAGGTGGAATGCGTGCCCAAGTTCTCAACTTTATGTTCAGGAAATTTAACTCAATTTTAGAAGATAGAATTACTATTGTTTTTAAATCAATAATGTATTTTCTCATGTGTATAATACAGATTATCTCATAGTTAACATTTGTCTCACCTTTCCAAATCATTAGCGATCTTTCTTTGAGCTGAATGTTATTTTTTTTTTTTTTTTTTTTTTTTTTGCCTTTCAAGATGTGCAGAAAGGGACACCAAACAATGCCTTGGTAAAAGCTTACCAAATAAAAATAAATTCAGGTTGAACTTATTGTTTGCTGGTAATTAAAACACCATTTTATGGCAATCCACCAAATACTAAAAATAACGTCGTAGAATTGTTAAATTTTGTTTTCATAATTAATTATCTTTCTTTCTTCTCTCTCTCACCCACCCACCCACTCACCCAGACACACACACACACACATGCAACACAAGACAGTAAAAGAAAAGTCACTTTTGTCACAGTTATGAATAAGTCAAAAGTTTGGTTGAAACTATTGAGTCAACCAAAAGCTGCTACCAAATGACCAGTCCAAGGGCCATTTGAAACACTATTCAATCGAGCTCTTACAGTAATATAGTTCCATATTTAAATTTAATAAAAACATTTTACTACTTTTATCTCCTACAAAAGAATTGGTTCTAGCCTAAGCCTGACTTTTTTAGTGTTTGATATCTGAGCCTGTACTGTTATTCTGATTGACACAACATGAAGCATTAAAGCAAATTTAACGAAACACTAAAATGTTTGGATCAAGGAAAAGAAATTAAAGTAACTTATTATTGTTCTTAAAAATTATCTACAGGAAGTCATAATTAAATTTTTAAGAAGTATCTTTTAAAAAATTAAAGGGAAACTAAAGCCTTTCTTTTTAAATAGATTATAGTAGGATACAACTGTGAGAAGGTATAAGAGAATCATCTCATTCTTCTCAGCTGTGCTCCCTGTACCATAGCAAACTATCCATTCAGTCCCCCTTGCTGGAGAATACTCTTTTAAAAACAGCATCATAAAAATAAAATGAATTTTAAGAACTATTTGTAATCTCAGGTTTTAAAGTCATTGGATTTTTTTCCTTCATGTTTAGAACAAGATAAAGTAACTAAAGATTTTCATGGTTTAAATTTTTATAAATATCCTTATTTAGGACCTAAAACATCTTTATTCAAATCAGTATGAGAGGGGAAAAATTTCTTTCAAATATTATCTACCAACACCACTGATTACATGAAAGAAGGACAAGAAGGAAATGTAGTAAAGGATTAACTTTCCCTAGATCTCAGGGAAATATGCTAAGCTTATTGAAATTAACATTCTAATCTAAATTATATATAACCTTGTAAGAAAATTCAGCCTTTTAAGGCCAGATTAGTCTATTTATAAGGCCTCTGCTCCCTCTCTTCCCCAATGGATATTATTATCTTTGAAAATTGAACGTGAGACATTTTTAGGTAAATGGAAGCACCTTCAGAGAAATAAGTCAGAGACACACATTTAAGTATAACATTGTTTCTCTTACGTGAGAAATGGAAAGGATTAATAAGGCCCCAAATGGATGATAGATATTGGCAAGTAGGAAGCAAATGTTCAAATGGGAAGAGGAACAGGGGAAGGAATGAGGCAGAAGGAAAGGAAAAGAAAAGAAAAGAAAGAATAGAAGGAAAATTGGAAACAAAGCTTTTGTAAATAAAAATGGGAAGAAAGATTGAAGGCAGGGAAGGAGAATAGAACACACAAAAATAAGAGTATTGTGCATATTATTATGTACAAGTACAAATTCCCTGTGAGGAGTGTGATTAATTTTTAAAAGAAAGTTTTGAAAGAAAGAAAATCAACTAGATGAAATTCTCTCTCTCTCTCCCTTCTCTTTCTGGCTCTGTTCCTGTCTTTCTGTCTCCGTCTCTGTCCCTCTCTCTGTCTCTCTCCCTCTCCCTCTCTTCTTTCTTCTTCCTTTCCACTTTTTCTCTTCTCCCTCCTCTGTTCTCTTCTTGTCTTGTCCCTTCCCTTCCCTCCCCTTCCCTTCCCTTCCCTCCCCTCCCCTTCCCTTCCCTTCCCTTCCCTCCCCTTCCCTCCCATCTTCTCTCCTCCCCTCCTCTCCTCTTCTCTTTCTCTCTCTCTCATACTAGAGACTGAACCCAAGATTTTGCCACTGGGCTACAGCCCTAATCCCTATCCCCCACCCCTTTGTTTTATTCTGAGACAGGGTCTTACTAGATTGCCAAGTTGCCAAGTTGCCCAGGCTGGGCTCAAACTTACGATCTTTCTGTCTTAGCCTGCAAGAGTAATATGATCATGGGTAAGGACCACCATGCTTGGCAACACCTCTTTAAATCTCTGGAGAAAGTCAGTGCACAGAAATAGGGCAAACCTATATATTTGCATGTTTTTAAAGAGTCTGTTAGAGAAGTTCATGTATTTGAGAAATTTTGACTAATTTAAGTCCAGATACCATCTGATCCTAGGATCCCTAATCTGAAAATAAAAATGCAAAATGCGTCAAAATGTAAAACATTTTGCATCCACTTGTAGCCAAGCCATGAAATTTTGTTCCATGTATAAAATTATTATAAAGTGTTGTATAAAATTTGCCTCAGGCTATTTTTACCAAGTGTACATAAAGTATAAATTTCACGTTTGTTGGTGACATTTCATAAATAATTATATATATGCAAGTATTGCAAAACTTCACAAAAAAAATCTAAAATCTGAGAGCCTTCTGCCTCCCTACATTTCAGATAAGGGATACTCAACCTATACTCCTAAACTCAACATTCAATCTATATCTATTAAAGTCACCTCCTAAATGTCCTTCCCCATGGCATAGATAATTGTTTCTTAAAGCACTCCATCTAGGTCCTATTGTCCTCAGCTCCCAAAATAGTACTTAGCCAGATGTCTGCTTTCCAAGTCAAGTCACTTTACCTGTCTTTAGTACCTTTAAGGCAAGAAACAGGCTAGTCTCAGTGTCTTCTTAAAGCACTGACAAGTCAATTGCATCCCTTTAAATTGTTTTTCTTTTTTCTTTCACAATAAATATAGAAGTTTCAGAGCTGAGTACAATTAAAATTCCATTTAGATTGAACTCTTACACCTGTTATAATAGAATTTGATCACTGAGACACATGATAGTTAAATCCTTTGAACCAGAAAGAGGAGCATTTAGACAAGGTTGTCTAGAAAATTTGTTCTTAAATTATCATGTTTTATAAATAATTTGACCATAAATAGATATCAACACTAAATTTAACAAGAAAAGTTAATATCATTGGAAGTGGCATTTCATTATTTTTCTTTCTCCTTTTCTTTTACTCTTTGGTTCCTTCTACCTTTGACAATTTTCTGAGTGTTGACTCAAGTATGTTTTGACCAGGTGGAGATCCTTAAAGCTAAAGAAATCACTAATCTTTAATCTGTGTGTAATTTGATCTTCTAATCCCAGAAAATCAAGTGCTTGTACCAGATAAGATGAGCAAGGGGGGTAAATTAACACAATTATGCTACTACTAGGCATAATCAAATGCCAGGGGAAAAAAACTACTCCCAAAACTAAGGAGCTAGCCTTTTAAAAGGTGATGGATTACAGAACCTCTAATCCTTTTTCACAAAGGCATGTGTAGTTTTCCCTGTTAGGCTATGCAGTAGAAAGAAAACTAGACAATTTACTTATGAAGTTAAAATGGAAAAGTTTTGCTCTAGAGTTGGGTAGGTTATAAATTGCTCCAATGCATTTATTTGTGCAGTAATTAACTTGTTGTGTGAGAAAAAAATTTTCCCCCCAGTCAGTCAGAGAAAGACTTACTCTTTTTCAGTGTTACAGCATGGGATGCAGGGAAAAATTCACAAGTGAGCTTGGTGTGTACGTGTATTTGGCACTGCATCCTAGCAAATCCAAGCACCAATGGCAGAGATTAGCAAGGATAGTAAATGAGCATAAGAATGCTGTGTGTTTTTATTAGCTTTTGAAATAAATTCGAGTCCAGTGGTAAAATGTCTCTAATATAATTGTTTTGATTATTAAGAATTTTCTCAAGTTAATGACAAATCAGTATACTGTAATCAGATAAAGAATGAAACTTAAGGCATTGTTTTCAAGAAACTACAGCATATACTATAAAAATAAAAGCAATTACTCCTTAGGGGCTGGGGATTTAGCTCAGCGGCATAAGCGCCTGCCTTGCAAGCAGGCAGTCGTGGGTTCGATGCCTGGTACCGATAAAAACGAAAAAGATAAAAAAAATAAAATAAAATAAAAGCAATTACTCCTTAAAAATTAATGTTAGTTAACATTTTCAAAATGATAAAGTCATGATCTACATAAATAAAATATTTCTCAATCCTATCTTTTCCCTAAGCTGAAAAAGGAGAGAGAAAAGAAAAAGAAAAACAAAGAACTGTCAAATGAATAAGAAAATTCCTCAAGAACAGCTTGTAAAGTTAAATTTTACTTAATTGCTATGGAGGGACATAGAATGTAATTCTAAATTTGTTCAATTTATACCTTAAGTTGCTCTTGTGTGCTGATATAAATAGAAAATTACATAAAGAGCTAGAAAAATCACAATCTGATTAAACATAATTTTTCAAGGTTTAATTTTAAGCAAAATATATTGATGCATTGTAAAAATATTCATACACTGGTTTTAAAACTGCTTGATAGGTCAATGTCAAGGGTGTTTTATTAAAGAAACCAGTCTTATTCTTGGAAGTAATTCTTTTTGAAAGAATGTGAACGATATTTCCAAAGTCTTTAGATCTCAAAGATGATAAAAATATATAATTCACCTTTAATTGTAGGGTTAGGTCATTGTTCAAGTTTCAGAACTACTCACTGTTATTCAATAGAAAGAACAGCATTTTCAAAAGAGGACATTAAAGCAAAACCTAAACCTCACTCACCAGAAGCCACCAGTCAAAACGGAAACAAGA